CTCTCTTTTTTTTTTTTTTTTTTTTTTTTTTTTTTTTTTGCAGAGCCATTGCCTGGCCTTGAAGAGAAGCCAGCAAGTGTTGGTACTTCAGAGGGGGTATACCTCAAACAACTACCTCACCCCACGCCTCCCCTGCAGACTGACTGCACCAGGCAGAGCTCACCCCAAGAAAGGGGGGAAGCATCGGGTCCGGAGCTCAAAACCAACTCCTCCGAATCTGCAGACAACTGTAAAGCAACCAAGGGCAAGAATCCCTGGCCCTCGGATAGCAGCTACCCCAGCCACGCCGCCCAAGGGTGCATGGCAGACCTCTCCGCGGTGGCAGACAGGGGCGCTCTACCTGAAAACGGAGTCATTGGGGAAGCATCACCCTGCGGATCGGAGGGGAAGGGCCTTGGTAGCAGTGGTTCCGAAAAGCCACTGTGCCCCAGAGGCAGAACGTTGCAGGAAACCATGCCATGCCCAGGACAGAATGCAGCGACACCGCCCAGCACAGACCCCAGCCTGATGGGAGGCCCTGTGAGCCAGTTCACCCCGCTGTACATGCCTGGGCTGGAGTACCCAAATTCAGCTGCTCATTACCACGTCGGTCCGGGCCTGCAGGGTGTGGGCCCCGCGATGGGAGGGAAGTCCTCAGCATCCCATCCCCCGCATTTCCCCGCAAGGGGCTTTCAGTCCAGCCACCCTCATTCTGGAGGCTTTCCCCGGTACCGCCCCCCACAAGGAATGAGGTATTCCTACCACCCCCCGCCGCAGCCTTCCTACCACCACTATCAGCGAACTCCCTACTATCCGTGTCCACAGGGCTTTTCTGACTGGCAGAGACCTCTCCACCCCCAGGGAAGCCCGAGCGGACCCCCCGCCAGTCAGCCTCCCCCCGCGAGGTCCCTCTTCTCAGACAGGAATGCCATGGCCAGTCTGCAAGGCTGCGAGACCCTGAATACTGCCTTAGCTTCTCCAGCCCGCATGGATCCTGTGGCTGCTAAAGTCCCCAATGATGGGCAGAACCCTGGTCCGGAGGAAGAGAAGCTGGATGAACCTATGGAGAGGCCAGAGAGTCCCAAAGAATTTCTAGACCTAGACAACCACAATGCAGCCACCAAGCGGCAGGGCTCGTTACCAGCCGGCGAGTATCTCTACGGACCTCCTCCTCCGTCTCTGAGTGCGGGAATGGGCTTTGCCTCGTCTGCATTTCCCAACCACGGCGTGATGCTGCAGGCGGGGCCTCCCTACACACCTCAGCGGCCGGCCAGTCACTTTCAGCCCAGGGCTTACTCTTCCCCCGTGGCTGCTCACCCACCTCACCACCCAGGGGCCCCCCAGCCCAACGGGCTCTCTCAGGAGGGCCCCATCTATCGCTGCCAGGAAGAGGGCCTGGGTCACTTTCAAGCTGTGATGATGGAACAAATTGGCACTAGAAGTGGAATAAGGGGACCTTTCCAGGAAATGTACAGACCATCAGGGTAAGATTGCATGCGGGCTTTTCCCTGCAAAGAAGAAAGAACAGATGTTGGTTGTTTTTATTTATTTTTGAGAGAGTCTGGCCATGTCACCCAGGCTGGAGTGCAGTGGTGCAGTTGTGGCTCACTGCAGCATGGACCTCCCAGGCTCAAGGATCCTCCTGAATCAGCCTTCTAAGTAACTGGGACTACAGGCACATGCCACCATTCCCAGCTAATTTTTTTTTTTTTTTTTTTTTTTGGTAGAGGTAGGGTTTCACCATGTTACCCAGGCTGGTTTCGATCTCCTGAGTGCAAATCATCCTCCTGCCTCAGCCTCCCAAAGTGCTGAGCTGACAGGCATGAGTCACCACAGCCAGCCTGGATGTTCATTTTAAACAGAAGAATGGCCTGAGAGGTGAAGGTAATAGTGAATGACCTGGGAACAAGAAAAGCATGTGAATTATGGGTGTTGCACGCTTGGTAGAAAGATATTAGACGTAGAGCCCAGCTTTATCTTTGAAATTTTTTCCCCTCGTGAAAATGAATTGGGATTTAAATGACTGAGTTAGATTTTGATATTGTAAACTTTTTTTTTTTTTTTGAGAAGCGTCTCCCTGGAGTGCAATGGTGCGATCTCGGCTCACTGCAACCTCTGCCTCCCAGGTTCTAGCTATTCTCCGACCTCAGCCTCCCAAGTAGTTGGGATTACAGGTGCATACCACCGTGCCCAGCTAATTCTTGTATTTTTAGTAGAGACAGTGTTTCGCCATATTGGCCAGGCTGGCCTCAAACTCCTGACCTCATGTGATCCACCCCCCTCAGCCTCCCAAAGTGCTGGGATTACAGGCATGAGCCACCATGCCCGGCCAGCTCTTTTATTTTATTTTATTTTATTGAGGTTAAATCTCATTCTTTGGCCCAGGCTGGAATGCAGCGGTGCAATCTCTGCTCACTGCAGTCTCCGCCTCCCAGGTTAAAGCGACTCTCCTGCCTCATCCTCCCAAGTAGCTGGGATTACAGGTGCCTGCCACCATGCCCAGCGAATCTTTGTATGATACTGTAAACTTAGTAACCACAGTTTGAGAGCTGTAAGCAAGTTTGTGTCAACATTGCTGCCGTGTGCAGACGCTGTGACCAAGGTAAAAAAAAAAAAAAAATAGCCGGGCACGGTGGCTCACGCCTGTAATCCCAGCACTTTGGGAGGCCGAGGCGGGTGGATCACGAGGTCAAGAGATCGAGACCATCCTGGTCAACATGATGAAACCCCGTCTCTACTAAAAATACAAAAAATCAGCTGGACATGGTGGTGCGTGCCTGTAATCCCAGCTACTCAGGAGGCTGAGGCAGGAGAATTGCCTGAACCCAGGAGGCGGAGGTTGCGGTGAGCCGAGATTGCGCCATTGCACTCCAGCCTGGGTAACAAGAGCGAAACTCCGTCTCAAAAAAAAAAAAAAAATAGGTCTACCCAGGAGTAGAAGAGATCATATGTCGTATGAAAGTTTTATGGCTGGGCGCAGTGGCTCATGCCTGTAATCCCAGTACTTTGGGAGGCCAGGGCGGGAGGCTCTCAAGATCAAGAGATCAAGACCATCCTGGCCAACATGGTGAAACACCATCTCTCCGAAAAATACAAAAGTTAAGGCCGGGCGTGGTGGCTCACACCTGTAATCTAAGCACTTCGGAGGCCAAGGCGGGTGGATCAACTGAGGTTGGGAGTTCAAGACCAGCCTGACCAACATGGTGAAATCCCGTCTTTAAAAATAAAAAATTAGCTGGGTGTGGTGATGCGTGCCTGTAGTCCCAATTACTCGGGAGGCTGAGGCAGGAGAATTGCTTGAACCTGGCAGACGGAGGTTGCAGTGAGCCAAGATCACGCCACTGCTCTCCAGCCTGGGCAACAGAGCAAGACTCCATCTCAAAAGAAGAAAAAAGTTTTACTACGTATCTTTCATTTCTTACTATATCATTGAGTAAGAAAACCAGTTTTGGGCCGAGTGCGGTGGCTCACGCCTGTAATCCTAGCACTTTGGGAGGCCGAGGTGGGTGGATCACCTGAGGTCAGGAATTCAAGACCAGCCTGGCCATCATGGAGAAACCCCATCTTAAAAAAAAAAAGAAAGGCAAATAAGCCCCCATGAGATGACTTTCACGCATGATTGTGCAGTGATGTTCTCGAAATCCAGTTAGGTGATCTGCCATCCAGGAAGCTTTCAAATCTGTGTATACCAAAGGTGGTTAGATGGAGTTATTTATATGAAAGTTACCAAGCATAATCTTGAAACCAATACCATTCGGCATAAAAACCAGTGTGCCCCTCATTGCCATCCTGTCGTCTCACTGCTGTACCCTCTGTATCGTTTTTCCGTCAAGTGTGCTTTATATGTCTCTAAATACCTGTTTTCTTTTCTTTGCTGTTTTTCCTAAGCTGTTGGAAAGTCAATTGTAAACCTCAACTCCCTCAATACTTGAGTATGCATCTTCTAAGAATGGACATTCCTTGGAGCACCATTTCAAAACGATTACCACACTCAAGGCAAATGACAATATCTAAAAGTTCTTTTTTCTTTTTTCTTTTTTTCTGAGATGGTGTCCTGCTTTGTCACCAGGCTGGAGTGCAGTGGCACAATCTGGGCTCACTGCAACCTCTGCCTGCTGGGTTTGAGCGATCATCCTGCCTCAGCCTCCTGAGTAGCTGGGAATACAGGTGCGCACCACCATGCCCAGCTACTTTTTGTATTTTTAGTAGAGATGGGGTTTCACCATGTTGGCCAGGATGGCCTCCATCTCTTGACCTTGTGACCCGCCCGCCTCGGCCTCCCAAAGTGCTGGGATTACAGGCGTGAGCCCCCGCGCCCGGCCTACGGTTGTTTATATTTTGTATTTCTGTTTCCTCAGTTGTCCCCAGAGTGTCTGTTTTGGTTTTTGTGGTGAGGTTTTTTTTGTATTTTTTTAGTAGAGACAGGGTTTCACCATGTTGGCCAGGATGGTCTCAATCTTTTGACCTCGTGATCCGTCTGCCTTGGCCCCCTAAGGTGTTGGGATTATAGGCGTGAGCCACCGTACCCGGCCTTTTTTTTTTGAGATGGAGTTTTGCTCCTGTCGCCCAGGCTGGAGTGCCATGGCATGATCCCGGCTCACTGCAACCTCTGCCTCCCAGTTTCAAGTGATTCTTCTGCCTCAGCCTCCTGAGTAGCTGGGACTACAGGCATGCGCCACCACACATGACTCTCGATTTTGTGTTTTTAATAGAGACGGGGTTTCACCATCTTGGTCAGGCTGGTCTCGAACTCCTGACCTCAGGTGATCTGCCCACTTTGGCCTCCCTCCCAAAGGGCTGGATTACAGGCACGTGCCACCGCACCCGGCCCTGGAGTGTCTTTTAGAGCTATTTCTGTGTGTGTATGTGTTTTTTTCTGATAAAAGATCCGGTAAAGGCTCATGTTTGCATTTGGCTGCTATGTCTGTATCGTCTCTTTTTTTTTTTTGAGACAGAGTGTTACTCTGTTGTCTGGCTCCAGGTTGGAGTGCAGTGGCACAATCTCAGCTCACTGCAACCTCCGCCTCCCAGGTTAAGCAATTCTCCTGCCTCAGCCTCCCGAGTAGCTGGGACTGCAGGCGTGTGACCATCACGCCCAGCTAATTTTTTTTTTTGTATTTTTAGTGGAGACGGGGTTTCACCATGTTGGCCAGGATGGTCTCGATCTCTTGACCTTGTGATCCACCCGCCTCAGCCTCCCAAAGTGCTGGGATTACAGGCTTGAGCCACCGCGCCCGGCTGTTAATTCATAGCGTCCTATCTGTTTTGTTTTCCAAACAGTCCAGGCCGGCTATCATGGAGAATGTTCCAGATTCTAGATTTATCACAGTCTCCTTGTGTTTAAATGAACACTTGTGCCAGGTGCGGTGGCTCATCCCCACAATCCCAGCACTTTGGGAGGTGAGGCAGGAAGATAGCTTCAGCTCAGGAGTTGGAGACCAGCCTGGGCAACGTGGCGAGATTCTGGCTCTACTGAAAATAAAGAACTTAGCCAGACGTAGTAGCACACTCCTGCAGTTCCAGCTACTCAGGAGGGTGAGGCAGGAGGATCACTGGAGCCTGGAAGATTGAGGCTGCAGTAAACCATGATCCTGCCACTACACTTTTAGCAGGGTGACAGAGCAAGACCCTGTCTCTAAAAGAAAAAAAACAGATGAAACACTTTCATCAGGAATATACGTCGTAGGTGGTGGGCGTGCCACATTTTGCACCAGGAGGAACACAGTGTCGAGCTGCCCCAGTGTCGACGATTCCAGGCCTGATCACCTGGGTGATGATGGCAGCGTCCTGTTTCTTTTGTCACTAACATGTCTTCGGTAATTCTTTGTGGCTCCTTTCTCTTGGCTGTAGAATGCAGACGCACCCGGTCCAGTCACAAGCCTCGTTCCCAAAGACCCCCGCAGCAGCAGCACCGCGGGAGGAGCTGCCGCCTCACAAGCCTCCAGCGCTTCCCCCGGATCAGGTAAGAATCACTAAACCTAGAGCTGCTCTCCTTCCTCCAGGTAGAAGGAAGGAAGCGTGTGACATCCTTGCTGTTGTGGAAAGGTGTTTTAAGGTATCCCGTGATACAGGAACTTTTCCTGTGACGTGCTTCCTTGGCACAGGGCAAGAAGACACTTCTCACCTGTCTCTTTTTCCCATTGTTATATGGAATGCATACCTGTTTGGGGAGTATTTACCCCTTATTTTTTCCACACCATCTGCCAGCATTTCTTCTGTCATGATCCCTTGTCTGTTTTATGCCTCCCACCTTTCTCACAGGAGGGAGCCTAGTCGGCAGGTTTTAGCTGCCTCAGTGCTGCTGCTCTCCCAGGCCCTGTGCCCGCGGCATGTCTCGTAATCTTCCCCTTGACCACCACAAAGCAGTTGTCATTGGCTGCGTCATGAGCATTTCCCAATGTGCAGGTCCTCCTGCTGTTAAGCAGTGGGTCTGGGATCTGAATTGGGAGGTCGAGGACTCTAGAACCTACCTTCGAGAAGGAAACTGTAGCTCATGAAACAGAATCAAGCCATTTTCACAGATGAAGAGCATAGATACTCTCTGGCTTACTTGCGTTTTTTTGTTTTGTTTTTTGTTTTTTAACAATTAAAACAATTTTTATTTTTGTTTAAAATGTCTTTGTGGCTGGGCCCGTTGGTTCACGCCTGTAATCCCAGCACTTTGGGAGGCCAAGGGGGGCGGATCTGAGGTCAAGAGATCAAGACCATCTTGGCCAACATGGTGAAACCCCGTCTCTACTAAAAATACAAAAATTAGCTGGGCATGGTGGCGTGTGCACCTGTAGTCCCAGCTACTCGGGAGGCTGAGGCAGGAGAATTGCTTGAACCTGGGAGGCGGAGGTTGCAGTGAGCTGAGATTGTGCCACTGCACTCCAGCCTGGTGCCTGGTGACAAAGCGAGACTCTGTCTCAAAAAAAAAAAATGTCTTTGTTTCTTTCAGAGCTAGTCCGAGGAGGAAATGAGCCCCAAGCAATGGCAAGCTGCACACGAAGACTGGAACACGGAGAACTGGGGAGGGCCCCGCCAGCTCTGCTCCCATCACCTGCTCCACCCCTTCACGTGACCCACCTGTGCCATCCTTGAGCTGGAGCCAGTCATGGGCCCTAAAAGGACACTCCTTAAATGACTGACACACAGCTCGCAAAGGTCCTTGGCCAGGGATCTCTTGCACGGCTGCTGTAGACAGTTAGGCAGAACGAATGGACTTGGAGTTAATGATGACTTTTCCAAATCCTGAGACACTTTTCAGGGAAAATCACTTTAAACTTGGGGGCGGGGGTATACTCAAGAAAGGAGTGGTGCTTTTAAACTTTGATGAGCAGCTAAACTCAGGTATATATTTGGGGAAGGGACGACTCGTAGTATTAATGGTTTTGGAGCTGGGTCCAGTTTACAGAATTTTCATGTTGCCTTTTAAAATAATTTTTGTTGGTGGTGAATGTATTGTACATAAAGTGGGAAGGGTGGGTGGGGATGCGGAAGAAATGGGGGTCCTAACTGGTGGGTACACAGCACTGGAGTGATCTTTATCTGTTTACAATCATGTCACACTGAATACTTCTGGGAGCTGCCGACGAGGGGAGGAAAGGTTTGATCTTATAATACGTCACTGCTTCCTTGCTGGCCGGCCGGCCTTCAGAGTAGCTAAAGGCCGTCCTTCCAGTCAGCCTGAGAGGGAACGCCTGTCCCCTCACCATCTGCTGTCCGTCTCCGTTGGAGGCAGGGTGCTCTGGGGACTGCTAGAAGGTTGAGCCCAGGAGATGGGCTGCTGGCTCACTCTGGTGGCCCAATTCCTGGATGTGAGAAAGTGGTGTCCCTTCCTGGTTTTGCCACCAGCCCGACCAAATAGTCGTAAACCAGCATCAGGAATCGGGATGGCTGGAGTGTTTCATCTATTAGAAGATGAGCCATGCCCATCACAGACCTCCCTGTTGGGCCTGTGGTCTAGAAGGCACCACACACATATTTCTGGCATGAATCACATTTTGTGGAAGTGACTACTCAGGTTTGTATATTTTAGTATCAATAAAGAATTGCACAGGTTTGAATAGGAAAAATGTATTCTATAGTTACAGTTTGAATTTAGGAATATTTCAGTATATATAGTTTTTATTCATTTTAAGTGAATCATAGTAAAATCAGTCATGGTGATTTACAATAGCTATCAAGAAGAAGTTCTTGGAATTATTTGTCGTATCTGTGATAGGAAACCATCGTACAGTATTAAATTACTTTATTACAGTTTTAGGATTGAATTACACTGGATTCTCCCTCGTTAGCATTCTCTATTTTATTTTAGCTGAAAGGCCACCAAAGTTAGGACCCTGTTTTAAATTTTTTAATATCCCACGAAAGAAAAACTAAGGAAAATACTGAAATTACAGGTCTTTGTAAAAAATAGCATATTTTTAAGCATGCTTTTGGGATGGTAGAAGAAACTCTATGAAATGTTAATCTGCCCTAGTTTCTTATAAATTCAGCTGTGGGAGGGGCCAGTAGAGTTTTCCCTCCAATTCCAGGATTCCTAGTGAAACATGGAACTGTCGTGTTTACAGTTTGCTAAACATACGTTGTTCGTGGAAAGAAAACTGATCAGAAACATCCATGATATAGAGATGAAACCCAAGACACCAGTTCCCGGATGATGGAAGATTGTACCCGCACGCAAACGCTTAACCTGGTGGTGCTGCATAGGGCTCAGGCAGATTTGAGAGTTGAATAGGGAACACAGATGCCTCTTAGGTATAATGCACAAAAATACAGATTTTCTCTCGCAGAGGTTTTACTTTTAAATTTGATGTATTTGCAGCTGGATTGAGTTTTGAGCCTGTGTTCTCACTGGCTCCTAATTCTTGTTAGAAACCTATCACTGGCGTAACCCGTTGAGAGTGAAGAGGACAGAAGGTTTGTGGATGGGTCTGCCCTTTAGCTAGTATTCGCTAACATGGAGCATGACAGCTTCGGTGTCTGGGTTTGTGCAGAAGCAGGGAGGAGGAAAAAGAAGCATTTCGTTTGTTGCTGGTTAGACCTGGGCTAGACCCAGAGAATTTGGCCGCTGACAGCCTTTCTCTTTTCCTGGTAATGCTGGTTCAGATCAGAGGCCTCACTTCTCCCTCACAGGAGCATTGTCACCGTGGGTGTCTCCCCGAGTACCCCAGGGGCCTGGGTGGGAGCGGCTGTGAGCAGCGCTGGGGCTGGTGCGCCCTTTCCTCCCGCCCTCCTGGTCCTTGAGCGGTTGTGTGCGCACTGCCCCAAGTCACCCTGTCTCCTCCCTCTCCCAGTGCCCGCGCCAAGTCACCTGGTGCTGGAGCAGTGCTGTTAACAATACAGGAGGAGTCAGTAAATCTCTTTATCCTTAATCTCCCTTGGTTTTAGGCGGAAAATATTGAGGAAGAGCAGTAGGAACTAGAACTACTGTATTAAATTACAACACTGTGAACAAGAGCAGCAGCGTGCTCAGCCTTCCTGCATCCCCTGTGGGAGTTTGTCCGTGCGTTGTACGAGAGCTTCACCCGTGGTCCAGGGCGCGTCCTGAGCTGTTACTGGTCTTTGAAGTGCAGATCTGCTGTGAGCTGTCTGGAGCTGCCACGTGGGAGAAATCCCTCTGGTCGTGAGCTGCTGTGAACCCCTAGCCAACCCATCTGCAGGCAGGATCTTTTTCTCGCCTTTCCCTCCTCTAGCACTTCTCTTTCCAAGTGTCTTAAGCAGATGCAATGTCTTAAAGCAGATGCAAATGCATTTGCCATCTTCTCCATTAGGAAAATGACAGTTATGTGTCATAATTAGAAAGTAGTGTGTAAGGCGTCCTGAAAAGGTTTGCTCTCAAGCCAGAAGGACATTTCACGCTGTGGGTCACTGTCACCTTGTCAGTGGGCCGGCTCTCAGTGGTCCCCAGGAGGGCGGGGATGGCTGAGATCCATGGAGAATTGGAAATGCCATCACCCCTCTTTGATTTAACACTCATGGCTCACTTTTATTAGAGTTGTTAATGAGTTAGAAACATGTGTCCCCAAGAGAAAGAAAAGGTGAGCTTCTTGGGAGGATTCTGGGTTTGTTTTCCCCTCAGAATTAAAAAGTGATTTTTAATTCTGCTACTGTTCCCCTCATTTAAAAGGTGGTAGGAGTGGCGGCCCACGCCTGTAATCCCAGCTCTTTGGGAGGCTCAGGTGGGAGGGTCAACGAGGCCAGGAGATCAAGACCATCCTGGCTGACATGGTGAAACCCCATCTCTACTAAAAATACAGAAAGCCGAGTGCGGTGGCGCATACCTGTAAACCCAGCTATTCTGGAGACTGAGGCAGGAGAAGCGCTTGAACCGGGGAGGTGGAGGTTGCAGTGAGCAGAGATCAGGGCAGTAAAGTGACACTCCATCTCAAAAAAAAAAAGGTAGCAGGAGCTATTGGCTAACATTCATTAGAGTGGATGAATTGGGAATAGATGAGAGCAATCCCTGCAGGCTTCTTGGGGACATAACTTTCCCTCCCACCTCTCTGCCTCTGCGTCCCCCGCCCTCATCAGGTTGGTTTAGTTGACCTGCTCTCCACACGAACTGCTTGTCAACAGTTTGTCTCGTCAGTGAGCCCAGGACAGAGGCTCAGAAGGCGACTCCTCTCAAGCTGCCTTCATCAGGCTTAACGAAGACCCTAAGACCTGCAGGTCGTCCCCTGAGTTCGGTCAACCCTCCGCTTTAAATGTCGCTTTACTGTAGCTTCTTCCCTGAAAGTGCTGCTTGTCACCGAGCATTTGGTGTCATTATCCCATGGCATTTATCTGCTGTGTAGTTGTTAACTATTATTTTTGCTCATTCCTACAGCTGGCAAAGGGTATGCTAAATGCCATCAAAATCCCGGTGTTGCCATCACCAAAGCTGTCAGAAACAAGCTTACAATCCATACCTCTTGGTTCAATTTTTTTTTTTTTTTTTTTTTTTAAGGATGGGGTTTCACCCTGATGGTCAGGCTGGTCTTGAACTCCTGACCTCAGGTGACGCACCCACCTCGGCCTCCCAAAGTGCTATGATTACAGGCATGAGCCACTGCGCCTGGCCTTTTTTTTTTTTTTTTTTTTGAGATGGAGTTTCACTCATGTTACCCAGGCTGGAGTGCAATGGCGCGATCTTGGCTCAACGCAACCTCCGCCTCCTGGGTTCAGGCAATTCTCCTGCCTCAGCCTCCTGAGTAGCTGGGATTACAGGCACGCGCCACCATGCCCAGCTAATTTTTTGTATTTTTAGTAGAGACGGGGTTTCACCATGTTGACCAGGATGGTCTCGATCTCTTGACCTCGTGATCCACCCGCCTTGGCCTCCCAAAGTGCTGGGATTACAGGCTTGAGGCACCGCGCCCGGCCGCCTTTTCTTTCTTTCTTTTTTTTTTTTTTTTTTTTAATGAAAGTTCAGCCTGGCATGGTGGCTCACACCTGTAATCCTAGCACTTTGGGAGGCTGAGGCAGGAGGATTCCCTGAGGTCAGGAGTTTGAGACCAGCCTGACCAATATGGTGAAACCCCATCTTTAAAATAAATAAATAAATAAAGTTCAAACTATAACTATTATACTGTTCTTAAGACCTAATTTGAAATTTCACAGGAAGGCTTAATCCCGCAGTCACAAGGTAAGGACAGTTCGATAGTGTCAGAACCCTGACATGCTGCCAGAGACCCTCAGTTTTCGTAGAAATGAAGACAGAAGGTTCTCCGGCATTGTTGCCCTTCTGAGTTCGCCCTCTGCAGAATCTTCATGGACCCCCACTGCAGAAATCGGTTCTGCGTGTTAGTGAGCCATGTGCTGCTCAGTGCCGGGGCTGCTAGGGTGTGGTGTCTCCACAGAGAACTCCAGACGTTAGCTTCAGTAATGACACCGCTCACCGAGCATGGAGAGGCTTTTATTTGTGGACTCACATCACTGGGTAGGCACCAGGAATGTGATTGCCACTTGCGGCGTGAGGAAAAGCTGGGCTTCTCTGGCGGGTGGGACTCCGCCATGTAGCTGTAGGGAGCTGAGCCTCTCGCTTCCCCTCTGGACGGCAGTGTTTGGGGGATGGTGCTGCTTCCCGTTTTTCAAGTCAGGGACACAAGCTTTGCCTGCAGGTTGGGGCATTGACCCTGCTCTGTGCTAGACAGTCATGTGGAGGGACTGTTCTTGGGTCTCCCCTCGCCCCATTTTTTTTTTAACCCGTACACGTCAAGGAAAGGGTTGATCTTTTTATACCTAGCTTCTCCCTCTTGTCCTGCGCAAGAGGACTGTCTGAACCCCCACATAGAAACGCCTGATGAGCAGCTGATTGTCCTGCATGTGTTTTTGAAAAGGGGTGGGTGGGGTGGGAACAGGGGTATGGATATTGCATAAGTTACTGAAATGCCGACCCCCGTTCAGGAAACCATGCGGCCCCTCCCCTCGCCGGGGCTCAGGTACTTCACTTTCCTGCCTGGCGCACAGCTCCTGGTGCCCAGGTCAGTCTCCTCCAGCCCTGGCACACAGTGTCCGGAGCCTCTGCTCCTGCTACAGAAGCAAGAGCCATGTGAACCTTCTGGCCAGTACTGGAAAGGGGAATGCTATTTATTTTTATATTGTGTATATTTTGTTGTGGTCTGCTGATTCCCTGTTTCACTGAGAGCGACACTTACCTCAATAGTTAGTTCAATATTGTGTGTTGGATAATTTTTTAAAAGAACTTTTAAAAAAGCTTTTTGATCCTCAGCGGTCTGTAGATTTATTTCCATATGAACTGGTTATTTTGTATAAAGTACATTCTTAAAATAGCGAGGCTGCTGTGTGCGTGTGGTGTGTCTGTTCACGTGTCATTTTCACAGCAGGCCAAACCCAGACTCCCATCAGGACAAAGGCATGACTAGGCCCCAAGGCCACCAGCAAAAAAGCCGTTGCCCATGTCCATTCTGAGGCATCAAGAATCCATGGAGGCGGGGCGCGGGTCCGGGCTACGTGACAAAGGAACGTGGTTCCAGAGAACTTCAAGACAGTCGTATACCGACTGGCAGTTCTAAACCGCGTCGGGGATAAAACACTCCTCACAGCTGGCCCTGCCCAAGCCAGCCTGGCGCTTGGCATCTCAGTGGTAAAGGCGTCTGCTTCCAGACTTTAGGCTGCCTGGGGTGGGAAAGGAGGACCCGATGGGGCAGTGGGGCAGCTCCGGCCTGGAGCCTGCTGTGCGCCCACGTGGCCAGAAGTGGGAGCTCCAGTCTAAGCCAGCAGGCGACTTTACACCTGCCAAGGTCATTTTGTTTCATTTCCGGTTACTGGGAGAAGGGATTGAAAGTAGCCACATTCTTAGAAATCAGCAATAGTCTTAAGACACCAAAACTGCTGTCCTGTTCTGTCCTTAAATGCAGATAGCCTCGGTTTAATGATCATTCAACTTAGGAGTTTTTGAAAGCGATACACATTCAGTAGAAACTGTACTTTGAGTACACATACAACGACTGTTTCCTGTACGGTGTTCAGTAAACTCCATGCCATATTCAACGCTGCGTTGTAACGGAGGCGCAACTGTGGGCTCGCCTGAGTTTGCTCAGCACATTTCAGGCGGGCTAAGCTGTGATGTTTGGTGAGTTAGGTGGATTCAGTGCATTTTCACCTGACAGCGTTTTCAACTCCTGAGTTTATCCCGAGGTAACCCCATTGGAAGTCGAGAAGCATCTGTAGTTGTCCGTGTAAGTAATCCTCACTCCACAAAAATTTAGCCACAAATAGTACCCATTTCCAAAGCATGCTGAGGGCTGTCCCTTTGTACGCAGGGATCTGTCTGCTGTCCTGTTAACCTCCTGTTGTTTCCTGTCTGACTGTCCCCGCTGATACTATGTTACTACTGGCTAACACATTTTTGAGACTTTTATCCTGTTACTGTTTGAAAACTGTTCAGTTCAATTATTCTCCCATGAAAAGTGTTTCTCGGATCAAACACTTTACGTCAATCATACTTTCTAGCTTAGCGGTTGCATTTCAGTATAATTTCTGAAACAAAACAAAAACCAACTTTAAAGTGAAAAATCAGGCCAGGCACGGTGGCTCACTTGATGTCAGGAGCTTGGGACCAGCCTGGCCAAACCCCGTCTCTACTAAAAATACAAAAATTAGCCGGGCATGATGGCACACACTTGTCATCTCAGTTACTGGGGAAGCTGAGGCAGGAGAATCGCTTAAACCTGGAAGGCAGAGGTTGCAGTGAGCAGAGATCGCACCACTCTACTCCACCCTGGACAACAGAGCAAGACTCCATCTCAAAAACGAAAAAAGTCACTAGTAAATTCCAGATGAGACATGATGCCACTCAAATTGTGCGTCTCCATGGATTCTCGCGGTGGGTGGGAGGGGCAGCACTCTGGCCTGGCTGCCTTCAGCGTCCTGCCAGCTTTCCTACAGCCCAGTCCAGCTAGCTGGGGCAGCGGCTCAGATGGCATTAGCAAATCCACTCCCTGTGCGTATCCGTAGCACACCCTTAAAATGCACGCAAACTTTGGTTTCTAACTTTCAGATTCCCTCCTACCGTGACATGAATTCGTCACCAAACAAAAGCCAGAATTTCTTTTTCGACAGATTTAGCTATTGACAGGCTTTAATTTTTTTTTTCAGACAGGGTTTCACTCTGATGATCTCAGCTCACTGCAGCCTCGACCTCCCAGGCTCAAGTGCTCCCACCACAGCCTCCCAAGCAGCTGGGACTACAAGTGCACGCCACCACACCCAGCTAATTTTTTGTAGAGATAGGGTCTCGTCATGTTGCCCCGGCTGGTCTAGAACTGAGATCAAAGGATCCGCCTGCCTCAGCCTCCCGAAGTGCTACGAATGACAGGTGTGAGCCACTGTGCCCGGCCTTTGTGTTTTATAAGGAACTTCGCCATTTAGAGTGCTCACAGGTTTATCTGCTTTGGACCAAACCCAACGACAAATACATATATATATACCCAGCCTAAGTGAGTATCTTCCACTGGTCAACTTGGTGCAGTAGGCAGTGTTACTGTGGCTCTGTCTTCAGAATGGGAAGTGTTATATTTAACACTTGTTAAGCTCCCTGGGTAACACCTTCCACACACAATCCGATGCAGCGAGCTTCTTTCTTCAGAGGGTAAAAGCTACTTGGGCAAGATTTAGGGGGACAGGAAGCTGTACGTTGTTACTGTGGCTTAGTCTCAAAAGTTCTGCTCAACTTTCTGTTTTGACATTTGGAGACATCTAAAAGTGTTTTCTTGTTAAAGATTAATGTCTTTTGTCTCTAAACCAATTCATGTTGCTGGAAAGGCAATCCAAGTTTTATAAATCGGCCGCTTCATGGGCTTGGTCTTCCTATACTCCCTGTTCTCTGAGTGCTACCAACAGAACTGAGAGAATAACCCAGACGGGCTATTTTGGGGTTGATCTTTACCCTGGAATCTTCCTGGAAGGTGAATGGCCCGTGTCATGCAGTTGTTATGCAAGAGGTATCATGGGACCTTTCCTTCTGGGCGGCCGTGGAGCCGAGGCAGAGCCCCGGGTGACCCAGCCGCAGCAGGCACCTGCTGTGTGGCTGCCTTCGCTGTCTTCCCCCACACTGCTGTTGATTTCTGCAGACTGGCCCTGTAGATGTCCCCTGGCCTCATGGTATCCCTTGGACTTTGTAGGGACAGTATCTTTGCATCTGTTTTAGTCCGCATTCTGCTAGCAAGGCTCACTCCTCTGGTTTCCTTAAGCAATTTTATAAAAACCCTTCGGTGCAAAATACTAGCCAGGAAGGCAAAGGGAGCTGGCAGATCCCCAGATTTGGCTCCTGTGTGCCGAAATCCCAGCCCCCTCTACAGCCGTGACATGCATATCAATGCAGGTGCGCTTGAGACTTCGGCAGGGTCAGGAAAGCACGACCTGCTTCTAGAATCCTGGATTTGGACTTCATTCTGGATAGTATATGACAAGGGCAAGGACCCCTATTCTAACCGATTAAAGCTCAACAGAATTTTTTTTTTTTTTTTCCCTTGCCTTCAACAGTCTTGATCGAGTTAC